GTCAAACACGGCGAGCGGTATGTCATCTAAAATGGTGTCATAAAAAGGCAAACAAATCGGGAAACTCTGGCAAACTCTGCGCCAACGACCGCACGCTTTGATCAGCTCCTGGTGATCGACATCAGCGCCACTACTGTCGCAACTGTGGTGATAGTCGGCAATCAATTGGTACACTTCGCGCACGTCCTCCACGGCTATCATCGCGTCACCGAACTGATCCCTAAGCGGTTCCAACAGCCGGGCCATTGCTGGTATGGACGCAAAGCGTTGCCACTCGGCCCAAATGGCGGCCATATGTCTGAAGTGTCCGCTCGTATCGGAACACGTATTCCGTGACAAACAACACGTGTGTCCTCAGCGCCGACCTCCGAGTCTCTGCCAACTCGTTGGTGACGTCCGCCACGCGTGACTCGAGTTGTTGGTGGATGGCCTCCAACTGTCTCATCCATTGTGTCTGTTGTGGCGAGTCTTCGGCGCCACTTATCGCACATCCCGTCGACCATCGATGCGACGGATGAGGCTTTGGATGTAACGGATTGCCAACAGTTGCCCATATTGTGGCACCAGTTCCCCAGTGGCTATCAATGAGTGTGAGTGGTGTTGTCAGCGATGGCTACTATTAATGGTTAGATAATTATCATCAAAACTAATGGTAAACAAGTGATCAGTGTTTGTGTATTGCATTCATACAAAGAGTCATTCAATGTTTTCACACACTATTACCCATACTATTGCATACCCCATGCGATGGCTACACTGTATAACTCTCATAGAAAACTCCAATACAAAGGTGTTTTACAGTGAAGTGCGTATCAAATGTGTTCTAAAGTGGGGTGCAGTCACTGAACACCAATCGCCACATTATACGAGAATATATGTCTCGGAAACGGGGGCACAAAATATATGCGTACGTTATATGCGAACAGTTTTATCGCACAACTCAATGCATTTCTGGCGTAACGCTGTCTGCGAACGACTCTCGCGATGACTCTCAAAATCGCACACAAAATGGCCGCCAATTGCGAGACACGAGTCACCGCTCAGTGAACGCCATAGTCTTCAGCCGTTTAATACACCACTCGTTGGTATTCCTCCGCAGTGTCTGCCATCCCGTGTGTGTCAACAATCACCACACCATCGCATTGGACATCACTGGCCGTCAGCCCATGGCGTCGACACCGATGCCTGTGTTTGGTCGCCAACTATCCGCCCCTCAGCCATGGCTGGGAAGTAGTGTCCACTCGTATCACATGCAGTCGATGCCGGCCATGGATCCGGTGGTGAGTTCGCTGCGCGTGCGACGCCCCCTATGGCCGCCCCCACCCGCACAGACACCGCCCGTCACTCACCACCAGTCGTACGCCTATAACAGGCATCAGCTGAAGACATGCGTCCATTCAGTCAACTGTCAATGCGGTGGACAACCACTGCGGAGGTCGTTGAGCACGTGCTTCACGCAAACCATGTCTACCGATGATAATACCGGCGCTACGGATGAGACAATGGGTGAGTCAGTGGCGCCGCGAATGTCTGTCGCGGACATCGACGCGCAGATGAAACACTTGACGCGCGTTAACCACGAGCTGAGGGCGCGGCTGAAGGTGTTGTCCGACGCGAAGTCAGCGGAGGTTACGGCGAGCAAAGAGTTTGTCCGCAAACTGGTCGACCACTACGAAGACCTGCTAATCAACTGCTTCGGTGTATACGTGCGCGAAGAGTACGACCGGTTCGCCGCCATCCCAGCGATGGCCAAGAAGTTGGAGCCCATTATGGATCAAATGAGACGCGCCTTCGCGACGATCGATGAGCTTAAGGATAGGCTTAAGTATGGCAGCGATGGTAAGCGCGATATCAATGGCAATGTGGAGGAGAAGGCGGTGGTGACCGGCGAGTGGCACGAGTTGGTGGAAGTGGTGCACTGTTTGCCAGAGTTTCCCGATTTGTTGGCCTTTTATAAGTCGGTTTTAGATGACATTCCCATTTCGCTGCCCAGCGCTCAGCTCCAGGTGCTCAGCAGTTGCTACCGGCGCCCATTGACTTCACAGCCATCACCGCTACAGCATATGTCCAGCCCTTCCCAAGTGGTAACAGATATGGCGCCCAAACCGCAGGGTTTAAGGCGACCGCGACTTCCGATGAGCGCCACTAATGATATTGCGGTCAAAGCTATGGCACCGGATGTTAAGCCAGTGATTGTCAGCGTAAACACTGCCGCGAAGACTATGCCATCAAATGCTGTCAAACTCGTGGCACCGACTGTACGTCCAGTGATCACGAGTCCCGGAAATACCGTTAAGACACTCCCGTATAATGCGGACAAACGTATCGCACCGGCTGTTCATCCGATGGTTTCCAATACCGCGAAGACTATGCCATCGAATGACGTCAAACCAATGGCACCGACAACTCCTCCACCGGTTGTCCCCAACGATAATGCGATGAAAACGATGCCATCGAGTGCTGTCGAGCCGTCAGTGCGTCCAAAGGTTGTCAAACCGACGGCACCGCCCGTTAGCCGCCCGCAGCCGAAGACTACACCAACTCCTGCGGTAAATGGTGTTCAGATGAAGCGCCTAATGGTTCCAATGGCTGACAATAGCGCTAAGAATGTGAGCGACGAGTCGGATGTACGTCCGCCCAGAGGTCCGCCACCGTTTGGCGCCAAACGTAAACCGATGGGAGCGGTAGCCGTGCCATCGGTTCCCAATAGCCCGCAGTCGACTACCGGTGCTCGAAGTGTCGCACCTTTGGTGCCAAAGGGACCGCAAATCAAATTGTTGGCCAAACTCCGCGACAAATACCCGGATCTGTCGGACGAGCTATTGATGGACAGTATGGCGGAGACTAAGCGCCGACTGATAGACACCGGCAGTGGACAGGGATTCACTGGTATGCGAATGGCGGACATTGTGGCGAAGATCGGCGCTTATATCGATGAGCACGCGATGGCTATGAAGGCAATGGTAAGTGGTTTTCGGGAATGGGATGTCTTGTGTTGTGGTATTCATTGTGTGATTGGTTTGCAGGCATTGTTCGGACGTAAAGACAAAATGACGGATCAGATGAGTGCCGAAGTGGACGACAACACTGTGGAGTCGATTGTCTGCTACGTCTGTATGCAAGCGATCGGTGATGACGTCCGACACGAGACTGACTGTCATCACGTGTTTCATACGGATTGCCTCAATAGCTGGGCCGAGGTGTGTACCGGATGTCCCGTCTGTGGCGAGGATTTGGTGCCTAATAGACAGCCCTTCCCATCGATTGTCCACTAATTTAATGCTTTGTTTTGATAACAATTAGTTTGAATACTTATTATATGAATAGAAATTTATTTGTGTTTTTAGTGTCATTTCACTGTTTGATTGACTATTGAATTGTATTTTATATAAATTTATAACTATTTCTGAATTTAATATAAATTATTATCTATTTATTCATATGTTTATAATATAAGCGACGTTTGGTTTTTGACTTTAGATTACATTAAATGTATGTTTAACTCAAATGTTTGATAAGTATTAATATAATATTTGCTGTAATTTTCACAAACACTTTATGGTTTACTTTTAAATTTAAATTTAATTATTAATAAATTCCAATACTTGATTGCATTCAAGAAAGTGGTTTTCAAATAAATAAATTAGTTATAGAAATGTGGAAAACATTTTCAAAGTGAACGCCGATGATATCCATAGGAACTGGATGCAATTTACAAATAAGATAATTAGCATATAATTAGCGGTAATAAAAATAATATTTAAATTTAATGATATTATGATCAGACCTCGTAATAAGCAAACTGATTGATCAGGAACAGTTTCCAACAGTAGAAACCAATTTGACGTTTGGATGTCATGTGTATTAATGCCTGTAACTGTTTAAGTGGATTAAAATAGTTTTAAAATTAGTTTTTTTAATTAATTAATTATAGATTACTTTTAGTCTGTTGTGAGTAGTGATCGCGGATTTAGTTTTACTGAAAGCTATCAATGAATACAAACTGTGAAGCGATTGATGTGTTTGTTTGGACTCAGTATTGACTGAACTGGCGAACAGTAATACACTCGATATGATCACCACTTCATCGATGGTTAGTATCGCAAACACTATCACCAGAATTGGGTCCAAATGCGGTGAAAACATTTGTAAGGATAGAGAGGCTATGAATGCCATGAATACAAACCAAAAGCATAGTAAAATGAATGACCAAGCTCGGTTCAATTGGTACACCATTTGGCAGATCTGGTTATGGGTTGACAATAATCTCATTAACTGTTGATTTGATGGTAAGTATTGGTTCTGAATATATTTGCTGAGTCTGTGGTTCAGTAGTTTTATCTGTAGTTTGGATCGATAACAGAAACCGATGAAGAATATGATGTGATATATGTATAAAACCCATAGATAGCTGAACCCAAACCCAAATAATATACTCCAGAATAAGCCGAATGTGAGTAAATTGAACAGGGTATAGTGTAGTGAACATTGTATGAATGGCAACATTGTGGATATAATCATGGCAACCAAGCATATTTGTTTGTGAATCAATTGCATGTATTTCTGGAGCTTTGGTGATATTAAGAGCAGTTTGTTATCCAAACCGAGAAGTTTACGGGATTTGCCTTTTGAATGATTGAAATTGCAGTAAATTCTGGCAAATAGTATGTATACTATTGCCAACATCTCTGACAACCGGAGCTGGTATTTGAAATCCCAATAATACATGTATTCACCGATTATAATAGCCAGGTGCTCATCGGATATATACAGTGCGAGTGCGGTCTTAATGAGCTCCACATACAATACCACATCCAATAGCACTCTATGGTAGCTCCTGTTCCCATAATGTGTGTTCAACTTAGGAAAGCCATACTTATAAGACTTTTGTCCGATTAGGTAAATGAAGTTATTAGCAAATTCAAGCCTTTTAGTCAATTTATTATCAATTTTATTCATATTTATTTGTATTTACTAGTATTAAATACATATTTTAGTTAGCGATCACATAGTATGTATTATACAGCTATCATTATATCACTACTACATACAATACAATTAAAATGATGTGGAATAAATAAAGTACTTAAAATTTAGCTTAAAATTAATGTCTGTCAAAATGCCATTTAATGCATACTATTGATTCAAAATGTTCATTATATTTTTGTTAAAATAATCAATAATATAACTGTAATAATAACTCATAATTAATGGTTTAATTGTGTGCAAATATATCATTATTTATTATATGATTTGTTTGTTTAAACTTTTAAATGCCGTATATTCATACATATTGATCAAGGTTTTTATCATTTTTATTTATCATATATTAAATACATACAATGATAACAAGTATTTAGTAAACTAATTTATAAAGATTATAACTGCTAATATTTATAAAAACATAAATATTTGTATACAATTTAGAAATGTACACTAATTAGTTAGTCATAATAAAATATTTATTAAAACTGTTGATTTGAATTATTTATATTTATTAAAATAAGTTTTAAAAAATTATGCATTAAAATCATATAAATAATTACACTGATATTAGTAATTTGTCGTAATTACTTAACGTAGTAATTACTTTACAAAGGTGGAAAACATTTTTATTGCGAACGCCGATGATATCCAGATGAACTATAAATAATTTACAGCAAAAATTATTTTAAAAGTAATATAATCTAGAACAGTTTCATCAAAAGTAATATTAAACCTCGTAATAAGCGAATTGATTGATCAGGAACAGTTTCCAGATGCTAAACCCGATTGTATGTTTAGACGTGTCCTGTATTAATGTCTGTAACTGTTGAGTAAAATTTTAAAAATGTTAAATAATTTTAAAATTTTTTACTTATAAAAAACACATTACTTTTAGTCTGTTGTGAGTAGTGATCGCGGATTTAGTTTTACTGAAAGCTATCAATGAATACAAACTGTGAAACAATTGATGAGTTTGTTTGGACTCAGTATTGACTGAACTGGCGAACAG